TGCCACGTGACTATATAGAGTCACGTGGGTCCCCGGCAGGTCACAGCTGACTTTGTTGTCATTAATACTCGACCTGCGCATGCGCATGAATGATCATTCAGATAGAAATGAATCTCTCTGTATTTAACTCCTCCCCTTGGAGAGCAGTGGGCTGCCACTCTGCGGTGCCCGGGGAGCTATCAGGGGTTAAAGGTCTTCGCCTTTATTTTAAACATAAATTATCTGTACTTACCTGCTCAGGAGGATGTTCGCTCCGCCGCTCAAAGTACCTCCAGGACACTACCCTCAAAATCCGCTCCGTGCTCACCTTAATTTTCCTGCCTCGCCGGTGAAATCGCTCCACGCTCGCTCGTATTTTCAGGAGGTCATTTTCTGACATTTTTCTTTCATGTAATTCTGCCGGGCCCTGGGACACATGGCGTTTGATTTAATGATGTGACCAATACATGTGTATTGTCTTATTTAACTGTTTCCAAGCTGTGAACATAACGCCTCGCTCCATTCATTTTGCCTCGCGTTTCGTATTTAATTATTAATTTATTTTACTATACTACATTAAAAAAGGTTACTTCCCATCCCATTGCCAATGGAGTAATAGCGTATAATGCATGTATGCGATCCATATTCAAAAACAGGCTCTTACTACAATGACCTATTTATGTAAACCCACTCTATACTGTTAAATATAGTTATTGCATGTTTTTATGATATTTTATCCCACTTTTTATCACACAATATGCAATCCTTGTCTCAGCGATTCCGTGGTAAAGTTGAAACATGGATTATAACAGATTATAGGCACAGACTACAGCATAGGCATCAGTCTAGTTTTTTTTTTACACTCTTTATTTAATGTTTTTATTACAATGAAACATACAACACACACAAAAGCATGGGCACTGAAACATAGATAAATAAAAAAAAGAAAAGGTGAAATAATACCAGATATTAAACTTCATTATGCTTCCTTATTCTTGTATGTCAGCCATTTAGACCAGCGTTTATTGTAAAAATGTCTTCCTATGCGTAAAAGTCAGTTTTTCCATGTAGTGGATCTCCTCATCGACTTTCCGCCAATGATCCAGCTTGGGAGGGAGTTTCTTTAGCCAGGACCGTGTAGGCATTGGCCTAGATTTGAAGTCAAACATGAACTTAAATAAAGTTGGAGCGAACTGGAGCGTAGCCAAATCCTCGTTCCGGCCTTTGAATTAAAAAACGCTCCACCATATTTCTTCCGCTGTGCTCACATGCTCTGGCTCAGTTCTAGAGGAAATGCATTTATTTATGTTATTATTATTTTCAGTGTGGAGTAGGAGGAATGGAAAAACTTTTTCTTCCTGTTTGTGTTTCACCTCTGAACGGTGCGACAGGGAACAGATAATCTACTGGTAGAAGATGTTGCAGCGTCCAGTTGTCTCCGTCCACGGCGGCCCACTCTGCTCATTAGGTTCCTCCTCCCCCTGCCTCAGCTTCTCCTTCTCGTCTCCAGGCCCAAACTCACTCTGTCCAGCATGCTGAGCCAGGACTTCCTGCAGAAGATGAAGCTCTTAGATCTGGAAGGTGTCAGCCAGTACATCAGCGCTGTCTCCACGCCGATGCTGGTCAGCGTGGGAGCGGTGGCCGCCGCCACCACCTACTACCTGGCTACGCGACCCAAAGCCCCCCCACCTCTCTGTGACCTGGAGATGCAGTCCGTCGAGGTTCCGGTGAGTTCAAGTCCAAGTGTAAATAATTAACACTGTTGTGTTTAAAATTAACACTTGCTTTTTCCATGTCCAAATAAGTAAACCTTTAATATGTTCTGAATATAAACTACAGAAAGAGACGCGACTTTCAGGTGAAACTTAGAGGAGCTGCTGCACCTTTGACCTTCAGCTTTCAGAGAAGCAGGAAACAATGAGCAGTTTCTGTGTTGAATCCAGCTCCATTGTTCCGTATCGCTGTTTATGGCAGAAACCATCCAACGATGATGCAGCTGATAGGATGTCTGGGCTGAAACAAATCCTTTGCCTCAAAGTTGTTAGATAAATTAGAAAGATGAATACATGTCAGTTGTGATGTTAAGACAGTTCCAGGAAAGGCTAATAAGAGCTAAAACAACAAATAAAGATACAAAATTAAATCCTGTTTGTTTATATCAAGCGATTAGTTCTTAAAAAGACCAACAGATACATGCACAGAAATAATTATGCATTTTAATTTTCAAATTAACAGGATTTAATCCTGGTTATAAAAAACAGACAAAAATAATCCCTCAAAGAATGAAAGCTTGTGGTAACAGTGGAAAGGAAAACTCCCCTTTGCCACAGCTCACCAGATCAGGGGCCCAAACTTTCCCTGCTTTCTTACCAGAAGGTTTCCATGCCTCCCAAAGTACTCCCGCCAACACACACACACACTCACTCATTTCCCATTGGGAACCTACTAGCACTAAGTTGCTAACTAGTTAGCAAGACACTTTAGAGAAACCGGCCACAACCAAACTGCTTGCGAACCTTTTGCCAAAACAATCCCGCCCTCTTGATAATCGACCAATCACATTCACTTTATTCACTCGTGTAAAGTCGTGCACCACTCGACTTCAGAAATGCAGAATTCAGAAATGCAACGGCTGGAACGGCCGCTTCCCTACAACTTTAAAGGAAACTACCACCTTTAAAGTTCAGTTATATCATCTTACAATAAGTATGGAGTCCTAAGATCCTCCAAGAACCTTAACTAAACATGATCATGGTGAAGCTTATTGATGAGTTTACGGATATAAAACCATCACTTCGAAAAAGCAAACCCAAATGAAAAGGTTGTTAATGCTGTGATTGTGATTAAACCAGATGTTGAAGATGTATTTGTATTCACACCAATAGTTTTGGGCCGTGAGTCTGTTCTACAACCATTTAATGATTAAGAAGCTGAAAGGTTTGGGCATCTATGAGTTATATTAATCTAAACTGTTTGTTTTGCTGTGTAACAGGGTCAATTATGCAGTTAATTTCTTCCACCCTCCCTTTAGCGAGGGGTTGACATTCTGTTGAAATATTTCACTCTATGTTTAATGAATTAGTATCAGAGTTGCTCTATCTGAAATAAGCGATGAAAGAGACCTAATTTCATCATGAGACATGTATATATACTTTCGATGTATCTGTATGTTATAAACAGGACAGAAAATGGCAGCAACAGTCTCCACAGATAGTTTTACCTGGGCCAAGGCAGGACTGGGTTAATTTATCATCTTCTAAAGGAGAATACTGGTATTTAATTTCAGAGAAATGTCCTTCATGTCCTTCAGCAGTCTAAGCCTATAGCAGCTTAACTATAGAGATTGCTAAGCATAACCTGAGCCACTGTAAGCTTTATCAAATATGAAGTTTTTTTGTTTAAGCCTAAAACTGGTAGTTGGTTCCACAGGAGAGGAGCCTGATAACTAAAAGATCTGCCTCCCATTCTACTTTTAGAAATTCTAGGAACCACTAGTAAACCTGCAGATTGAGAGCGAAGTGCTCTGTTAGGAACATAAGGAACAATCAGATCTCTGATATCAGATGGAGCTTGGCCATTTAAGGCTTTATATGTGAGAAGGAGGATTTTAAATTCTATTCTGGATTTAACAGAATTAACAGAATCTGTTAAATCTATTCTGGATTTAACAGACCAGTCACTGACCGTCTCGGTGACTGGTCAGAGATCATTTCATCTTTCTCCATATTACTGGTTTATCGATGAATGGAGGAGAGTGTTGCGATGATGGAGCGGGACTGAATCCTCTGCAGTCCGATCATTTTACCCAGTGGGATAAATTTGACCCCTGGCTCTGATTCATCTGTTGCTGTGAGGAAGATTGATCATTAACCTGAACAGACTGAATCGCTGAAAACATTCTCACCCATCCATGGATAAACCTCCACCGAGGTGTGAAGAAGTTAAGGATCCTTCTGTGACTACCTGAGCAAAGCTAAAGACAAAAGCTCAACCCTTCATCAATAACTTTAACACTAAAGCAGCTCAAGGTGGGTGAGTTTATTTCTATAGCGCCAATTCACAACACATGTCATCTCAAGGCACTTTATAGTTCAACCAGATCATACAGTGAAATTGATTTAAAGTTTTCTATCTAAGGAAAACCAGCTGATTGCATCGACTCATTGACTCTTCTGCAATCCCTCACACTAAGCATGTAGCGACAGTGGAGAGGAAAAACTCCCTTTTAACAGGAAGAAACCTCCACTAAACTTAAACGATTACAGAAGATTTAACTTTACCAAAAGCTGCATCACGTCCAGGAAAGACTTGAGTGGAAAGCATCTGCTGGAATAAACCCATCTCTGATTAACTTCTGCTGTGTTTCAGGGCAGTGACTTTGTGCATCGCTCTGTGCTTCACGAAGGAGACGGTTTCCTGACTCACCTGTATGAAGATGCCAGAACTATGTATGAGTCCGTCCTCAGAGGAGCGCGAGTCTCCAGTAAGTCTCAAGTGTAACGAGTAAGATGGAGTACGGTCATCTTTAAGCCTTTTGAGTTTAGACTTCAAGGTTCCAGCAGGATTACTGTGGAGCGTAGAGGAGGCAAAGTACGGAAGCCCATTTCTGCCTCTATAAAGTAAAAGAAAAAGCACATCATATGTCATAATAATGAGATTTTGTCATTTATGGGATTTGAAATCCTAATTATGCTTTTGAAAGTTGGAATTATGACCTTAAATCTCAGAATTCTGACTACGATTTTTATAATATATTATATTTGTATTATATACTAAAAGTCAAAACTATGACTCGTCCATGTTGGGAGGCGATATTCACATTTCCCCTAAATATGTAAACTATCAGTAAGATGTGGCTCTTATCCAGCCTTGTTCAGCGGGACGCTCCACCCATCTTCCAATGTTCCCCTCTCCGTCTGCTGGTGGGGCCGTAGCGCTGCCTGAAGTTAACGGCAAAAATTGAAATTTAAGCATGTGATTCCTTAAAAATACGTTTATTTTCCTTGAGTTGAGAAAATTAAGACGTCACACCTTGATGATTTAGCAAGCCTCTGCTAACGTGCGGAAATTTGGCAAAAACGCTGGCATACATTAGGTATGAGCACGCTGAAACATGTCGACATATGGCAAGTATGTCAAGAACATTTCCAGACGTATGCCAGAGTATGCTCATACGTGGGCCATAAGTTACAGGTAAGTTATCTGTTCACCGACACGTTAATTTTAAGTTACTCATTAGTCCTGGCATCCAGCTTATCCAACCTGTATCATCCCCATCCTAGGGTGAGTGTCATGGATCCTCCCTGCGTTCACGCCCATGAACAACAAACTTCCTAGAAGACATGATGCTGATTCTGCTGCGACTGCAAACCTTCTGTCTTTCTTGTTTCTTTCATTGTTTCTTTCTGTATTTCTTTGTTTTCTGTCATTATTTCTTTTTTTTCCTTTCTTATATTGTTTCTTTGTTTCTTTCTTTCATTGTTTCTTTGTTTCTTTCTTTCATTGTCTCTTTGTTTCTTTCTATATTTGTTTTCTGTCAGTTTCTTTGTTTTTTTCCCCTTCTTTCATTGTTTCTTTCTTTCATTGTTTCTTTGTTTCTTTCTGTACTTCTTTGTTTTCTGTCATTATTTCTTTGTTTTTTTTTCCTTTCTTTCATTGTTTCTTTCTATATTTCTTGTTTCTTTCATTGTTTGTTTCTTTCCTTGTTTCTATGTTTCTTTCATTATTTCTTTCATTCTTTATGTTTTTTCTTGTTTCTTTGTTTGTTTGTTTCTTTTTCTTTCTCTGTTTTTTTGTTTCTTTTGTTGTTTTGGTGGGCGGTAAACGGCAGCTACAACACCTGCGAAGTTTAGAGAAATTTTCTTCTTGTGCTTTTTATGCTGGCCGGATGCCTCCAGGCACATCGCTGCCCCCCTCAGGACTCTGATTTGTGACATTTCATTGGCATTATGCTGCTGTGCGTTATGCTGTCGCTGGACATACGTTCTGGACTCACTATTATCACTCTTATCTATACGCCCAAAATTGAAAAATACATAGAAAGTTCAGCGTATGCCAGCGTTTTAGGAGATTCAGGGATGTCAGGCATATGCTGGCTAAATCGCTATGGTGTGACTGCGCCGTTACCGAAACAGTTTTCCAATAAGATGATTTATGTCTGAAATAATAACAAATGCATCTTTTTTCAGGTGCATTACATCTAATTATCTTATTTTAGGGGAAATTAGCAGATTCTGTCATTCATCTGCGCTCCGTGTTTCTGTGTATTATTTTAGTTTTACTGTGTCTGAATATAAACGGGAGTTTGTGCCTCCAGGGAGGTGAATGTATGATGGATAAATGGATGGAGGTTCCCTCTTGTGTCCCCTCCCCCCCTCACTACTGTCTCCTCTCCCAGATAACGGCCCCTGTTTGGGCTTCAGGAAGCCGAAGCAGCCGTATGAGTGGATGTCCTACAAAGAGGTGCCTGTTTTATTTCCTCTGATGGTCGTAAAGTTGCCCTCAGATGGTTCTGCTGGACTAACCGGTTCTGTCTGCTTTAGGTGATGAAGCGAGCAGAAAATCTGGGTTCAGCATTTCTTCACAAAGGACACTCAAAGACCACCGACCCCAACATTGGTATTTTCTCCCAGAACAGAGCAGAGGTACAAACTTTGAAACATTTTTTCTCAGTTTTTTCCTGTTCTGGTGACTTGATACTTGTCTGTGTTTGCAGTGGACCATCAGTGAGCTGGCCTGCTACACCTACTCTCTGGTGTCCGTCCCTCTATACGACACACTGGGAACAGAGGCCATCTCCTACATCATAGAAAAAGGTACCGCCCCCCCACCCATCCTTTCAGTCTTTTCCCTGAATGCAGCCTAATAAATGAGGAATGCTGCTGTTTCCCTGCAGCCTCCCTCTCCACGGTGGTGTGTGACGTTGAGGACAAAGCTAATCTGGTGTTGGACTGCATCAAAGACATGGAGCACTCCCTGAAGACCATCGTTCTGATGGAGACCCCCAGCGCCAGCCTGGTGGACAGAGGCCAGCAGGCGGGGGTCCAGATCCTGAGTCTGCAGGAGATGGAGGTGAGGAAGCACATTTAGAGCCTGAACTATTGAATCTGGATCTAGATCAGAGCTTCCAAAAGATTCAGCCTGTGACCCCAAAATGTGACAGACTGAAGACTCCCTAAAACTACAGAGAATTACTTCACTGCTGATTTTATTTATCAGTATAAATATTGATTTTTATAAAATTGAACTTAATTGTTCTCACAATGGAGACATGAACTCTCTCCATTTAACCCATCTCCTTTGGGGAGCAGTGGGCTGGCATTGTGCGGCGCCTGGGGAGCAATCAGGGGTTAAGGGTCTTGCTCAGAGACCCAGAGTGTATGCCTCTATGAACTCCTTGGGATGTCCTGCTCCTTTAGACTGACCATGGTGGATGGTGGCATTTGTTCGCTCATCCTCTCCTGGTCTGTTTCGTTTCTAGTGGTTTCTAACGTTCGCAGCAGCTTCAGTCGTCGTGTTTCCTCATGTTTCCCCAACTGAAGCTTTTATTTCCCGTTCTGTTCCTCAGGCCCTCGGAGAGGCCAACCATCACATTCCAGTTGTAAGTAAATCCCATCATGTTCAGAACTGTTAGAAAGAGAAAATGTTGGTGGAATTAATCTCTGGTCTCCATCAGCCCCCCCAGCCTGATGACATGGCGGTGGTCTGCTTCACCAGTGGAACCACAGGTAACGCTCTCCCCTCGCTGCTCTGATAAAGCTTCCCTTCGTCACCTAACCTCCCGTCCTGCCTGTTCGTTTTCAGGGAGCCCCAAAGGAGCCATGCTGACGCATGGGAACATCGTGTCCAACTGCTCCTCCTTCATCAAACTGACCCAGGTGAGAAACCAGAGTTCAGTTTGAAGCGGTTCCCAAACGTCTCCACCTCCTCCCATCATGCTCTCTGCCTCTCCTCGCTGCAGGTCAGCTGTCCGCTGAGTCCCAGCGACGTCCATATCTCCTACCTCCCTTTGGCTCACATGTTTGAAAGAGTGGTCCAGGTACGTCTACTGCTGTTCCCCTCATGCCTTCAAACCCGCAGCTTCGTCCTCTTCATGTCCTTCTGTCCCTTAGGGGATCATGTTCGTGCAAGGAGCCAGAATCGGATTTTTCCAGGGAGACATTCGCCGTCTGTCAGACGATCTGATAGCGCTGAGGCCTACGGTGTTCCCCGTCGTACCCAGACTCCTCAACCGGATGCATGATAAGGTGAGGGAGCGACGGGGACTTTTTCAGCCGCTTCTGTTTGTTTGCCAGGATTTCTAGATGTGTCTGTGTGCAGATCTTTGGGCAGGCCAACACCTCTGTGAAGCGCTGGCTGCTGGAGCTGGCCTACAGGAGGAAGCATGCGGAGCTCATGAGAGGCATCGTACGGACAGACAGCATCTGGGATCAGCTCATCTTCAGGAAGGTTCAGGTACGCAGAACAGAGCCTGCCGGTTTCTACTGGAAGCTTTAAGGGCTGGTTATACTCCTGCAGCAGTACGCAACAGTTAGCATGTTGCAGGAATGACGCAGATATTTTTGATTTTCACTGGAAACAATCCAAATCTAGATAAGTCACTTTTTCTTAAAATAAATGAATTTGTTTGAGGAAATTAAAGAGACATTTTGCCAATGGAACAAGACAATTTAGATTTAAAATAAGAAAACACAATTTAATTGTCTTATTTTAAGTGCATATTATCTAATTTTCTTATTTTAAGAGTAAAAATACTCTTAGAACACCTAAATTCGGCCAATCTGTCATCTGTCAATCAAATTTCTGAATTTTTTACTTGTCAAAATCCTCCTATGTTATTCCACGCCACAATGCAGGCGACACACACGCAGACGACCTGGTTTCTGAGCACAAACCAGCCTATAGGCTCCAGCAGAGAGTCTGACTCATCGTGATTAAGCTCTCAACATGCGTCTGCAGTGGTTTGGATAACTGCTGGTGCTGCTTTACGCTCCTTTACAAAAAACTGATATAAAAATCATTTTCAAAAAGATTGAAATTCTCTGAACGTAAGCTGCTAAACATGATGATCAGCAAATGAAAGGAGGGTTTATGGTTTTAGAATAAGATTAACTAGATATAACACCATAAATGTTATCACACATCCTTCCTCCCAGCAGCTGGAAGGTTGTATAACCACCACTGTTCACACCAACCTTAATAATTGTTACATTCATGCTATTTTTCCACAGTTTCTATCTTAGTCAGTTAAATTAACCTGCTGCTGTCATTTTGCACACCTCTGATGTTGCTGCTATTTTCAAATATTAATTACTGTAAAAATGTCCACCTCTGTATATTGGTTATTTATTCTCCAGGTGCACAGTTTTTATAGTAAAGTTTTTTTATTGTTTATCTTTTATCTCTTCACTATTATGTTATTCTTATACATTTTTCTAAGGTCCACATTTGTGTGACCTGCTGTAACACCAGAATTTCCCCAAGAACAAGAAAGGGATTTTCTATTCTATTCTATTCTATTCTATTCTATTCTATTCTATTCTATTCTATTCTATTCTATTCTATTCTATTCTATTCTAT